CAAACATATTGAGTAGATTTTGAGTTAGAAGGATTTTCTTGGCCAAAAATGTCAAAATTTGCGTAAAAACTATCTGTTTTGAGCAAATCTAACCATTCCTAGCGRATAATTATAACTTCTTACAAACATTGCGGATAGGATTGGATTTTATACCAGTWGATAAGAGGTTTCTTCTGCACACTAATAAGAAAAATAAGAAAATAACCTTGTCATTGGTAGAGATCATTAAGTTACGAATTGTGTTAAGATCTTTAAAATTGTCAACAGGTATTTCAGGTTCTATCATATCAAAAAATCGTCGACGAATTTGATTATAAAGAGGACAGTTACATATGTATTTCTGTTTCAACTTCATTGTTCGTACAGAATAGACAGATACGTTGATCGTTTGAGATATTTTGGTTGTTGTATCTGCCTGTTTCGATAGCTAATTAATTCTAAATTTGGTGAACTGCCTTCTTTGCTCAAAGTTTTGAAATTTATCCAGATAAATTTCATATTCATAAAATTCCTTAAACGTATTATAGAAGCATAATTTTCTTTAGTTGTTTACAAGTTTTTTCCAATGATCGAAGTAAAGTTCCTGCATTTTTACATGATACTTCTACAAATTAGAATTCAGTAGAGATGACTTCTGTAATTTCATTTTCTATGTTATAAAAAGATAACATTTGTAAAGGGTTTGCATAATAGCAAGAATTATTTTCTGCATGTAAAGACTGTGAAATAAGTAAAGCTTGTTTTGATAGAGAATTAGCAAGTAAGCATAAAAGATGATAAAAGTATTTTAAAGAAAGTTTATCAATAAATGTTATCAAAGGAAAACGTCCAAGTTCAGCACGTGAAGCATTGTTCGAATCCTTATTACCTTAATCCAAGATAATATTTACAAAAACGTAGTTGAACTTTTCCGATCGGATTTTTGTCCCATTTTTCAAAGTTGTACTTTTGATACACACTCCAAATCTCACATGCACAAGTTAAGATTGGTCTAATTAGTGAATCAAATAGTTTACAAGCTAATTTTGGTTTCAAACGCCTAAACTCAATTTTATTTGTGATTAAATAAAATGCATGTAGAGCTTTTTCTTTTGATTTAGTTTGGTGACAGGAAAAATTACCAGTAGAACTTATTCGAACGCCTAAATACGTAAATTCCTTAACATTTTTTAGGCTGTTACCATTTAAGATGAAATGTGATTGTTTTATCCTGTCCGTTTCTTTTTTACAGAAAATCATTATTTTTGTTTTTTTTTCGTTTACTGACATTTACCATTTCGTGCAAATTATTAACAAGATTAACACAGTTCTGTAAACCAACTTGCGATTTTGATAAAAGAACAAGATCGTCAGCATATAAAAGGGAGCTGAGTTTTTGACCATTTGAAAGATTAAAAGAATCGGTGTTATTACTATTTCTAATGACATTGAGAGCTCATTTAAAAATAGGTTAAATAACAAGGAGAGGCATACCAGTGATAGTTCAAGTCATAGCAATTCTCTTGCACCTGATACACTGCATTCACGCAGGCCATCTTTAGCAGTACCAGACATTGTAGTACACCTCGTGAATACTGAAAAGGGGAGAGGGGAGGAGAGAAGAGGAGAGTGGAGAAAGGAAAAGAGGAGGGCCTGACTCCAATGCTGTTCGGAACTCGTATTGCAAATCCCCTAGCTAATTTTACTAAAGTTTTTTTACTCAAAATGAATCATAGCGCTTTGAAGGAAGAGTTTGAGATAACTTTTGAATGCTGCTATAAGAGACTTTTCTAAAATTTCCACCAAGAAGCAACAGCAAACGTGTCAGTATCGAATTCGAAAGTTTGGTGGTGGATCCAGCAGTCGAAATATTTTTTAAATTAATTTTGTACTTCATGAATTATCTTAACCAAAGTATCCTACAATTATAGCTTTATTTAATTTACTTTTTGTTTAGGTTTACAAACACCTTGTGACAAGCGCCCTGGATTTGGATTTCAAACATTTCCAGGATCCGGCTCAGTTTAAATCAACTTTGCCGTTTGAGGAGTTTTTACTTAATTTTGAAAATTTCTTATGAGCTTTTTCGATGCCTAAATAAGACTTGACGCAATTCACGATCTTCTTTTATACAAACAGAACAACTCATTGATCGTCAGTCTGTGACCAAACGGCTCAAAGATCTTTAGATAGAACTACTGGTTTATCATCGTAAGAAATTCAAACATTTATTTCAAGACCTTTATTTATTTCTCGTGGACCATTTCTTCAATTCACACTTTGTTTCTTTGTCCTAATGCAAAGTCCGTTAAGTTTATATATATTCGATCATTGAATCCTGAAATCAGTCAATTCAATCAAAACTCTAAGATCTACGAGTCGATTTTACTCTGAATCCTACTTGCACTTTTCAGACTCCTTACTTCCTGCTGACAGCGTTGCGTCAATGCGTATTTAATTACTCCTTGACCTTCTGATTGATGTTCTATGAAAATTCATTTAGAAATGTTTTTAAACTTGTCTTCATTCCAGCCAGTATATGATAAGACTGACAGATTTGGTTGCTTTTATTTGTTTTTTTTTCTACCTAAATTTGAGAAATTCTTGAATGACATAAAAGAATTATTCTTAGTTTGTTGTCATTAAAAATAAATTCAAACTTACCTTTATATGCTTCTTATGTTCATTATTGATARTATTCTTCTCTATTGTTTAGGAGTCTATTTTTTTCATCTTATCAGATGCAACCTGCATCAATTTTTTTTGTGATATAAATGATTCGAAAGTAAAGCTATATGCAAGTGTGAGCAGGAACGGAACATTGTCGATAAATCCAGAATTAATTCTCCCTTTTGCCAACAACATACAAAGTTTTCAGTGACAGCTTGATATATCAACCTTTTATAATATAATATAATAATATTTATAGAGCTCATATTTCATGTGGATATGTTCATATGCGCAGAAATTAACTAAGTCATTCAATTGAATAAATTGGATAAAGAGAAATATAGATATAACATAATATAGTATAGTATATAATAATATAAATATATAAAATAAATGAAATATATAGTGTATAGTAATAAAGATGTATAAAATTCTAAGTAAAAGCTAATTTAAAAAGGTATGTCTTAACAAGTGACTTAAATTTCCTGATACACAGTTCATTCCTGATTTCAACAGGAAGACCRTTCCACAGTTTAGGGGCCGCAGATTGAAAAGCCCTGTCACCTAAAGTTTTTTTTACATTTCCCACTAGCTGGATTTAGCAGAGTGCCCTTATGATTCCGGAGGTTATACCTATAAACCTTACTTACTGAAACCAAATCAGACAAATATTGTAAACATTTAAATGTTAACAGTAGTATCTTAAAATGAATACGATGTCTAATAGGTAGCCAGTGTAAATCGAAAAGAACTGGTGTGATGTGGAAAAAACGAGGAAGCCCTACGATATCCCTGGCAGCAGAATTTTGCACTCTTTGTAACTTATTTACATGAATATCAGGAAGAACCATACAATAAACTATTACAGTAATCTAGTTTACTCACTATAAAAGCATGGACCAAAGTCTCAGTAGAACCACGTGATAGGTATTTTCTAATTCTTCTAATATTGTATAGATGGTAAAACGATGAACTACAAGTTTTCTTAATTTGTTCATGCATATTCAAGTGGGAGTCAAACCAGGCTCCCAAGTTTTTTACAACAGAAGATTGGTTAATCTTGGATTCTCCAACTTGTAGATTGGTGACGTTCACTTTCTCCAGCTGTTGTTGGGTATCGATCACTAAGAATTCTGTTTTACCRGGATATAGCTTCAGTTTGTCAGATAACATCCTTTTTTTAATGTCTGAAATACACGCTTCCATAGCACTCACAGCCAACCTCTCATCAGTATCGTCKCCAGGCTTGAAGGCCAGGTACAGTTGTGTATCRTCCGCATATGCGTGGGCTTGAGGCAGATGACTTTCAATAATTTTGAATAGCTTGCTTGAATACAATATGAACAGCAGAGGACCGAGGAAGCTGCCTTGTGGAACGCCATATTCCAGATCAAACAGAAAACTGAAACAACACCCTCAATGGTGACACGTTGACGTCTGTGTGACAGATATGACTCAAACCAGCTTAAAGCAATCCCTGATATGCCAAAATCAAATGAGAGGCGGTTAAGTAGAACGTTGTGATCTACGGTATCAAAGGCAGCACTGAGGTCAAGTGGGATCAACAAGGTTACGCGTTGTTTATCCATATTCATTAGTAGGTCATTTTTAACCTTAAGTAAGGCAGTTTCAGTACTGTATGCTGGTCGATAGGCTGATTGAAGATCGGGTATCAAGCCATATTCAATCATGTAAGTATACAGTTGATCAGGCACTGCTCGTTCAGCAAGCTTTGATACAAACTGCAAGTTGCTGATTTGGCGATAGTTCATGAAAACTGTKTCGAGTCCATTCCGCTTCAAAGTTGGGTTCACAAGAGCATCTTTCCATGAGTCAGGGAATTCAACAGTTTGCAGTGATGAATTCAGCATTTGAGTCAGAGGTGGTAAAAGTTCTTCCAAACAGTCCTTCAGTAAAGACGTAGGTGAAGGATYAAGAGGGCAGGACTTCGTAGATACTTTAGTTGCAAGCTTTCTCACAGCGTCCATATCAAGGACACTAAATTGAGAGAAAGTTGCATTCACTCCGAGAGAATCAAAAACAGGAGGCAAGGTCTGTTGAGCTGCACAGGTCATATCAAGCTCATCTCGGATGTCAGATATTTTCTTCACAAAGTAAGCTCTCATGTCATTTGCAAGACACRTCACTATGCAGCGGGAATTGCATCTCATATTGTTGACCCAGCAATTTCTTTGTAGCAGAAAACAGTTTCCTCTGATCATCAGAATTATCGTTGACGAAATCAGTGTAAAATTCACGACGAACACTGTTCATAACATACGTTGTCCGGTTCTTTAGAGCTTTAAATGCAGCTTGGTCAGTATCAAGTTTTGTTCTTCTCCACTTACGTTCAGCACGTCTACGTTGCCTCTTTATAGCACGGATCTCATCAGTGAGCCATGGTACACGATGGCGTATGACAACAGAACGGATTAAAAGAGGAGCATGCTTGTCAAGCAAAGATGACAATGTCTTGTTGTAGGAGCTAACCAAGTCATTAAGCTGAGAAGGTGTCTGTACAATGAGTTTAGAAGCACGTAGATAATCTTTCAGAGCTTCCAGATCAATTGATTTCAATTTCCTGTAAGATACTGTCTTAGTAGTAGATTTTGCTTTGCAAAAGAACTGTTGCATGATCAGAAAGAAAACTGCCTGATATAGGTGAATCCAAGATAATGTTATCAGAGACTCTTGTAATGATTAAGTCAAGGCAATGGCCATGGATTTGGATAGAGGTGCGTACATGTTGCTTCAGGGCCATCGTTTCAAGCAAGTCAGATAATGCAGTAGCGTAAGGATCAGATGGGTCATCAATGTGTATATTGAAATCACCACAAATCAATATAGGTTCCGTACAAAGAACAAAAGACTCCAAGTAATCTGAAAATTCAGTGATAAATGTCCCAGTAGACACAGGGTTGGCAGTAGAATATGGAGGTCTATAGATGATAGATAAACGCAGACGTAATGATTGGGCACTCGATAAAGTCCATTCGGCAACCTCAAAAGATTGACGGTTAAAAGAGTCTATATTCTTCACAACGATGTCAGAACGACAGACCAGCGCAATTCCACCACCTTTTCGTTCAGATCTTGAAGAGTCAAATAGCTTATATCCATCTGGCAGACATTCTGTCAAACTCATTAAACTAAGTTTCCGTGAGTGCAGCCAAGTCAATTTTTTTCTCACATAGATAGTCAGCAAAACAAGCAGTTTTGTCCTTAATTGACTGAGCATTCCATAAACAAAAATTTAGTGAATTTATTAGTAGCAACAGCGGCCGCTTGGGAAATAGATTAGGTTGTTTGCATTCCTTTCTTCTGGTTCAGTGGCTATCTGTTGAGAGTTTGAATGATCAAAACATTCAAAATGTGAGGAAACCACTGTCCTGTCTGATGTTGAATCAACTTTAGGTCGTCCACCACGACTTCCCCTAAAACGCCTGTTTTAAAGAGTTCCAGACTGGTTTAGGAACAGGTTTAACTTCATTCTCAGAACAATGGCGGGAAATTTGAAAATCACTCTGTGACGGAGTTTTCCACCAAAATCGCAGATCAAGCAGTTGATTCCTTGAATATCCCATGGTATCAAAACAGAAACCTKTTAGAATCCAACTAGCTGAGGTTTGACGATATAAAACGGTGTAAAAACGGATAAAAACTGAAACATAAGTAAGAGCTCAGCGAGGTCAGCCAACYGGCGCCATATGCTCTGAATGAATATTCATATAAAACCGATACATACCTAATATGTTTATCTATAAGCAAATATGAGTGCTAACTATCATGTCGTGTTTCTTTCCCAGATTCAGTGTCAGTATCATCTTCAGAGAGTCCTACTGCATCATGGTACTCGGGGGCACCTCAGAATGGAAATGGGGGCTCTCCCCCTGTTAGACGTCGCTCAAAAAGTTCAGCACAATTCGGTTCTCTTCGGTATGTATATCTTGTATCCTTCTGTGCCTCATTAGTACCCTAAAGTCACTTTGTTTTGCTGGTCCTTTTATTACCATGTTTCCTGCACATTTTCGTTTTGTCCGTCTATACTTTTCACGTTACCATGCAGCTCTCCATCTCTATCTTTAATATAACCCTAAAATGATTTGAGCTCCATTATTGCCTAGAGAAAACTTGGAATTTCTCGGGTTCAATTCATGGACTCGGCATCTAATGTGATTGTTCCTTGGGCCTTTGTCTTAACTGTCTAGGTTCTTTGATGTTCCTCTTTCTGTAAAATCTCCCTTCCCATCACACTCAATTTGTAAGTTATCCACGTCCTCGCCAAAATAAGAAAWTTTTTTTTCTAGAGTTGAAAAGCTGCTTAAAAGGATTAGGCTATAAGAAATCCCCATTGTTCTCATTGTCCGTCTATCGCCCATTTATTGCCAAAAATGTTCAAGATTTTCTTTTTTTCGTTTTCTTATATCGAAGGCCGCCTAAGGCCCACGGCAAACGTCGGACTAACGTCGCACCTAACCTACTAACATTTCAGTAGTTCATGAAAGATGGACTAGGGGCCGACGTGGCGGCAAACGTCGAAGCAATGTAGATCTTAATTCACTCTAGCATTGTAGCACGGGTATCTCTTTACACATGACTTTGTTTAGTATCCTGTGCTACGACATTACGCAGGCAATGGCGAAATACAGCTCTCATTTAAGACGGGCGACTTTCTTTGAAATAGGATTGTTTCTCGGCTTGGATTAATCCTAAAAYGTTAATGCGGAGAATTTATACTTCATTGCATATAAAGAAGATTAAAAGTATTATTGCAACCCATGGTATTATCCGCGCTTGGTTTATTGCCTTAAGATGTATTAAAAACACCGTAAAGTAAAAGGTATTTTTTGTCGATTTTAAAACACTAAATAAAAAGTAACAATAGTATTTTACAAACTACTGGGCAACAAAAATGTTCCACAAATTATTTTGTTGAAAATGTTTG